AAGAGAGCTTGTTTGAGAAAAGTGTTGCAACGGCTGGCTTCTGCACAGTGTTTGCAGATCCTACCACAGTTCTATACTTGAATGAGGGAACCATCAGTCCCACTGGTTGAGCCTTCACTTGTTGAACTTTCAATTGCTTTTTGTAGAGCCCCCATCTCCTCAGCACACACGCTGGATCTTTGCACCAGCGCTGCCACCGCCACGCCCACGGCCCCCACCCTTGCAGGGAAGCAGAGTATGCAAACTACCTTGCCCAAGTTTGTTTTTTCCCATGGATCAGTGTTCACAGACTTGTTTTCCCAACTTATTTTACCTTTTCCTGCACAGCCTGGCTACCCTTGCAGAAAAGGAATGTCAACATTATATTCATGTTCTGTGAGCCTTGTCATTTGACAAACACCTTTCAGCTTTCATGTGCCTTTCCATCAGGCCCTCGTTTGCCAGGAGGTGGTCCAGGATCATTGTTCTTCTCCTTCTTATTTTCCTTCTTCTTCTTCTTCTCCTTGTCCAGCTTGATGGAGTTGAGCTCATTCTGCTTGTCACAGAGCAGGGCTTGGGTGCGGGACAGCTCAAGATTGCTGGCGGAGAGTTCACGGAGCGTGTCATCGAAGCGGCCTTGTAGTTGGAATGCAGCCTTTCTCACTGACTGGAGCTCCCTGTTGGTCATGTCCAGCCTGAGCTGCAGATTTCGGTTTGCCTCCATCTGAGCTCGAAGCTCCTGATTGAGGTCCCGGATCTGCTGATGCGCATGGTCACGCTCTGCATTTGCCCTTCGTGCTGGTTCTTGAGCTGATGCCATTGCTGCTTCTGCGCCTGCTGCTCGAAAAACAGCAAGCTGAAGTTGACCCTGCACTTCTGCCAGGCGACTGGCAGCAGCCTGCTCACTTTCTCGGAGGGTCACATTGAGCTGCTGTGTGGCTGCCACAGTGCTTAGCAAGGCCCTGCGTTCTGTGCGATTCTGGTGGCCTTTGCCCCTTGTGGTTTGCTGCTGGCCCTTGTTGTGGCCTTTGTTCTGATCTGCCCCGCGAAGACTGTCACCTTTGCCAGGCCTTGGATCAGCACCACCCATTGCTTGCAAGGCAGGCAGTGCTCAGTGGTTCTAACATGACATGTGGCTGCCTGCCATCCACTTCCATGCATGCCATGCCATGCTGCCTGCTGTGCATGTCATGCTTCTCTGCTGCCTGGATGCAATAATACTGCATGTTCTTTACTGATTTTAAACTGTTTGATAAACAAGTTGGGAAGGTGCCCCTCTGCTCCAGATCTCACCAGCTTCAGAACCACGGTTGCTGGGGCGCATGTCTTGTGGCTACCATTGATTGGAACAATGTGGCTGAGCTCTGAAGGGGTGTCACCAAAGAAGCGGCGGCGGCTGGCTTGACTTGCGTTTTCCTGTAGCAAGGAGCTCCCTCGTGGCATCGTAAAATTTGGGTGGGTAGCGCCCATGGTGGCTGCCGCGGCTGCCACGGGCACATGAAAGGCAAATTTCCAATTTTTGCACGAACCCCCCTCTGTTGGATGCCACCTGTTGGGTGTCACCAGACCAACCAATGCTCCTGAGTTCCGTACTCAATCTAAATCCATGTCAATCTCTGGGTGCAGAAATGTCTCTGGCCTCCCCTGATAGCCCTTGTGTTTGCCAATCTCATTTGTCATGGCTCGTGGAACCAGTCAAAACTGGCTCCATTCTTGCATACAGTGCCAATTGTGCCCCCTCCACTCACTGTCCAGGCCTGGCTTGGCTTGGCCAGGCAGCTGCAAGCCAGTGCCAGCCTGCAGCTCAGTGAGGGTGCCAGGATCACTGGAGGTTTTATTTTAGGCTATGAGGTCTTGGGGAATGGTCTGTTCCCAGCTGTCATTCAATCCCCAAAATGTTTGTGGCTCCCGGTTGTCAAGTTGCTTTTGGCTCTTCTGGCTTCCAGTTAGCCAGGCATCACATTGCCACAGTGGAGCCCTTACAATGCAGGGATCTGAAAACATGCCTAGTTATTTCACATCCTGCAGCTATCAGAACTACAGGTGGCCCATGCTTTATGCCTGTCCTAACTGAACCCTTTGCAACTAAGTTGCCTCAAAAAGTCAACCCTCAGCAAATGTAAGCCTTCCTGCTAGCAAGGAGGACTCACAGCTGCAACAGGGCACCAGGCACCCAACATCATGAGCTCTGTTCAGCAAAGACACGGCCTTATGCCCTGTGAAGAAACTCATTCAACTGTCCAAACATGTTGCCAACTGCTGGCAGGAACATCCTGCAAAAACAGAATATGACTGACTTGAAACATTGGGTGTTGCCCCTGGCTTGTGTACTCCTGACAACAACTCACACCTTACATTTGCATTTAAGTGTTTTCATGTGTTAGTCATGATTCTTTGCAACTACAGCTGATGCTGCCAAATTCCAAGGGCAAGGCACACACCACCCTTGTGTTTTAGCTGGAATGGGTGTCTTGCCTTTCTGCAAAACCATTAAGTCTGGTTTGGCTTGCTCCTTAGGGACACACTGTGCAGGCACTGCCGCAAAGGCTGAGGGGAAGGATTGGTGGCCTCTTGGCAGTGGACAAGAAACTGTACAAGTAGCACCTTATCATTCCATAACCTAATTGGGTAGTGAGGGAAGCTGTGCTGGGGTGCTATTACTGGGCAACTTGCCACTGGGCAGCCACTGCCCATACCCATCCGCCATGCCTGTGAAATGCAAGCAGTGCATGCCTGTGAATTGCAGAGAGTGCCTCATTCACTCATTTGAGGCTGGGCCAAATGCTGGTGAGGCTGACGAATGCCTTTGTCCGACCGTTGGAAGCTGTTGATAAGCTTGTAACCTAACAACCTGCTGGTCCAGAAACTCTTGAACTCTCCCCCAAGTTGAAGCTCAGCTGCAAACAAATTCCCCTGGCGCCTTTTCAAAAGTGCATTTGGAAGATGCCTGTGATTGAGTCCAAGCGAGTTACCTGTCAGAAGTCATTACACTCTGAGAAAATACTGAGAACCTGAGATGAAGGGCATGCAATGCTAAGTTTCATATTGCTGTGACTGAAGTGCATAATGGATGTCCTGGCAAGAGTGAATACTAAAGTCCATACTTGGAATTTGAGAGTAAGCCATCATGGCAATATTAGTTTCAAGTGAGCCCTAAAGCATGGGACCCCTGTTGCACACTGCTGAGGAGGCCTTTGCAGTCTGAGACTGGCCAACTGCATTGCAGTCTGAGATCATTGGCCGCTCTTTCAGCAGCTCTTGCGCTCTCTCAGCGCTTTCAGGTGAGGTTTAACCGCTCTCTCAGCGGACCTGTGCAATCTCTGCACCATTGGGTTATTTTACCGCTCCCCCAGCGGATGTGCTTGATGAAGATGATGAGGACAGGTCACAGGCCCCAGCATGCCCTCCAGCCCGCCCATCCCTGTCGCCCGTACTCAAGCGCCTTGAAATAACAACAACTTTTGGAGCCCCCACCATTATTCTTCCATGAGCTAATTTGCAGACTGCCTTGAGCCAGGGGCGCCTTTCGATATTTATCCTGCGGCCTTGAACAAGGCATAACTTTCAGGCTACCTAGGAATATAACAAATGATGGATCCTGATCTACACAGGTTTGCAAGCCATGTTTTAGGTCCCAAGCCCTAGCAACACAAGTAATGCCACCCTGACGCAAGGACATCAACATAGAGGATTGCTGCAAGGATCTTCAAGCATGCTAACGGTGTATCTGCAAAACATGCTGGTGACAATTTAGCACAATGTTTTTTCATGCCCTCAGCTGGAGCCAAATGTTATGTTTGGATATGTTTGGACACATGGGCAACATCATGCTTTCAACATGGTTTGAAAACCCAGTCAGTCGGAACATCCCACGGACTTCCTGTGTCTCAATTGCAAGTTGAAGGTTTGTGCAAAACGTGAAAACATTTCCTTAAACAGAAAGAAGCCAGTGAGCCAAACTGGCAGGCCTGAGGAAAACAGGAAACCCTGTCTGTTGCAATTCCCTAGGCAACTGCACGCAGATTTATTGTGCCGCCCTGCCCCCCCCCCCCGCTCCTCTGATGAAGATGATGAGGACAGGTCACATGCCCCAGCATGCCCTCCAGCCCGCCCATCCCTGTCGCCCGTACTCAAGCGCCTTGAAATAACAACAACTTTTGGAGCCCCCACCATTATTCTTCCATGAGCTAATTTGCAGACTGCCTTGAGCCAGGGTCGCCTTTCGATATTTATCCTGCGGCCTTGAACAAGGCATAGCTTTCAGGCTACCTAGGAATATAACAAATGATGGATCCTGCACAGGTTTGCAAGCCATGTTTTAGGTCCCAAGCCCTAGCAACACAAGTAATGCCACCCTGACGCAAGGATCTTCAAGCATGCTAACGGTGTATCTGCAAAACATGCTGGTGACAATTTAGCACAATGTTTTTTTCATGCCCTCAGCTGGAGCCAAATGTTATTTTTGGATATGTTTGGACACATGGGCAACATCATGCTTTCAACATGGTTTGAAAACCCAGTCAGTCGGAACATCCCACGGACTTCCTGTGTCTCAATTGCAAGTTGAAGGTTTGTGCAAAACGTGAAAAACATTTCCTTAAACAGAAAGAAGCCAGTGAGCCAAACTGGCAGGCCTGAGGAAAACAGGAAACCCTGTCTGTTGCAATTCCCTAGGCAACTGCACGCAGATTTATTGTGCCGCCCTGCCCCCCGCCCCCCGCTCCTCCCCTGCCCTGCCCTCCCCTGCCCTCACCAATTTTCACATCCCAGAGAAAACTTTGAAAACACCATTTGGATTTGAAACACCCATTTACCCTGACACTGGCTTAGCCACTTGGGGGTCCAAAAAAGAGAAACTGAGTTCGGTCCGTAAAAAATAGGGATCGCCCTGTGACTTCATACCACCAATACCCCAAACAAAGCCTAGAAATGAAAAGCAACACAAGGTCGGACCGCCCTGGCCATCCTTATGCAGCCCGCCCGCCGCTCACAGCCCCCAGCACGGCGCAGTCTTGGGCCCGGGCTGCCAGGGGGAAGTCCCCGAGCTTCATCCTGGCTCCGGGGCCTTCCCGCGAATCCCAGGCAGATCCCAGGCAGATCCCAAAACCCGAGGGAGAATCGTCTGCACCGAAGCGATGAGAACATTCGATAGATTCGCGTGATTCTCTTCGTGCAATCTAAGGACAGATGTCCATTGCAACATTTCAGTTTCAAGAAAAGAAGAGAGAAAGAACACGAGGCCGGGGCTGGCGCACGGTCTGAAAAGCAACTCCCTCGGCGCGGCAACTCGCTCCCTCCTGCCACGCAAGGAGCTCAGCATGGTCCACCTGGCTCTCAGCTTGGCACCCCAAGGGAGATGGATAAAATTTATTGCCGGGGAATTCGGTTCGTCTCCCTTTGTCAAAAACAACAATCCATGAAGCTCCATACCCAGGAAAGATGGAGAAGAGATGTTTCACAGCGCGTGTTGGCAGCACGTCGTCCCGTCAGGGCGAATTCCTGGACCCATGGTGGACACCTGGGTGTCATGCATGGGCATTGCTAGCTGCTCAACGCCAAAGGCAGTGCTTATTGGTCCTGTGAGCAACACCTTCACAATCCTTCACCTCTGAAACTGTTGATTTTTGTACAGATTGTGCTGAGTAGATTAGATTAGTTTTATCTGATGTACGTGTCTCACTTGCTCTGTCAGGGTCTATGGATTTCCGCGGCACCCCCGGGCTGCGGGCGCAAAAGACAGACCGCCTCTGGTCTGAGTTGTTGGCACCTGTCCGCTGCTTTGCTCGGACTCTGGTCCACTGGTGGGGTAGAAACTGAGGAAAACGCACGCTTTGCCGGGTCTGGTCACAGAAACGGCAGACCAAAAACGGAGAAAGAAGAAAAGGGACCGAAGGCCGTAAGAAACGGAGCCTTTCAGAAATGGAAGGCTGTCACTGGCGCCTCCGCAGTGCATGGTCCTCGAGTCGTAAAGGACCAGGTCCCCTTGTCTCAGCGTCATCTTCCGGTGAGGCACGCCGAAGGCCTCGTTTCGGATGGACTCGGCGGTTGCCTTTGCGCGTTTTCGGTCCAGTTAGGTCGGAGGAAGGAAAACTTGGCATACGGGCATGCGTGCAACCGCGCGAAACCGCAAATTTGGAGAAGCCGGCATTTCTACAGAAAATTCCAACATCAAGGGTCTGGCAGTGCATTTACAAGTGCGGCCAGTTGCCTCAGAAGCAACTGACACACTTTGGCGCGGCCTCGTCGGCTTGGTTCACAGACAGCTTGCCGGAGATGTGCGAACCTGGCAGTACAAAGCACATCCCCAAGAGCTGGGCCCGTTTGCAACTATCTACCCTCATTCCGACAAACATGGCACCTGACAAGGGGTCCCTCCAAGAGGAAGCTGATCTTCCAGGTACCCTCCCACAGGTGCCATGTTAGTGGGAGAAAGGGTATCATCTTGCTGCTTAGTAGGATCTTTTTTGGGAATGCACCTGGAAAATTCCCTTGAAGGTGAAGAATAGGAGATGGTTTCTAGGTTCTCATTCCCTGCATCTGGCCATGGGTCAAAAATCCAAATCGTAGAGCCAGTGAACATCCCCACTAACATAGACCGAAATGGGTGGTGAATTCACCTGCCCCAAAATGGGATCCCAAAACGGTTTTGACTCCCACCGCCATCTCTCCCAGGGAGGGCTGGGCCCAACAGGTTGAGGCTTTCAACCGAGGGGCTCCAGAGTGTCGCGTGGTGCTCCACCGTGTGGGTGCCAGGCCACACGTGCGTCGGCCCCATGTCCGGGGTCACGTCCTACCAGCTGAGGAGGTTGCCGCCGGGTGCCAAATGACTGGTCCATGACTCAGGCGGAACCGCTTTGGCTGACACACACCAAGAAACACGCCCAGCTGTCATGCAGGCGGACATGTTCCAACTTGCCTTCAGCATGTCCAGCATGCTCATTCCACTTGGAATGCATCTTCTGGAAAGCAAAGACATCTCTGACGTGGACAACACATGTTTAACGCATGTGCGCCTTTTGTTAACATCCGGTATCACCCACACCATCAACAGCACGCTAATCTTTAATCCAAGCCGCGACAAACAGTTTCCTCGCAACATCAAGCATCCTTCCTCAGCCGTTTCACCGCCGAAGGGTCCAATGCGTGAAGAGGAGTCACTGCATGTGGCTCAAGCCAAATGGAAAGGGCCGCCGCGCGTTCCAACCCCAGGCCGCCCTCAGCCGCCCCGCGTTGTTTCTTTGTTTTTTTGTTTTTTTTTTTCTCACGGCCGTCTCCTGCAGCGCCAAGAGCGAGGTGAAGATCAGCGCAGTCTCCGTGGCAACCGCTTGCACCTGAGAGGGTAGCGGTTTTTTTCCGGTGCCGCCTTGGGTTACTTGCGGGAATGTTGTGGGGAAAAAATTTGAGAAGACTTGTTGGAGACTCTACAATTGCATCGAGTTGTTCAGGCCAGAATGTGTCAATCAGGCTTGGCAGTCCTTGAATCAAGGGACGATTTTGGGTTGAGGAGAAGTAGGGATATTCAACAACAATGATGAAGATGATTGGACCTCAAACACTGGTGTGATACTGTAGTACTATCAACATGCTTCGTTCCCGCAGTTGCTACCACTGCAGACCTTTCTTGCGCGAGCCCTGGGCGTCAACTGCCTTGCAAGCTCTGGGATGCTGGCAATGTGCCCCAGGTCATCAGCTTCATCTTCATCCTGGATGAACCAATGGGCCCGAGGCAAATGCTGCCAGACGACGGGAAGCACGCTACCAAGCGAGACATGAGCTCTCAGCAGGAGGGTTCTTCAATACAGCCCAGAAACCAGCATGCCTTTGCGCATGAAACGTCTTTCAGGGGGGGTCCAGTCTCTGTCGAGCACACTCCCCTACTTGCAATCCATTTTGGCTTGAGGGCAGTTTCTTTCGGCACCCGCGCCTCTGAAGCATCGTCGCTTGGGCCCTTGGCCTCAGCTGCGCTCTGAGACATCTCTGTGCCTTGCCCGCGTGCCTCCAATGTGAGCAGCTCATGTGACATGGGACGCTCTTGTCACCTCACTCGATCGCTGCGAGATCGCTGAGATCGCCTTAACTTGGCGTTGAGCTTGAGCGCTCAAATTGGAGCAGACCTTGGGTCGATGAGCTCGCCCGACTTGCCTCTGGCAGAACCGGTGAGCCTAGCGGAACTGCGGAACGCGGCAGCCTAGAGCCGACAGCGGCCGCTCAAAAAGTGCGCAGCGAAAAGGTTTGGCTAGGGCTTGATGGTAAGCTCCAGACCTGCGGGCCACAAACTCAGCTGAAGGTGCGAGATGCTAGAAAACCTCCCCTTCCACAAGGTCAGCAACCAATTTCGAGGTGGCAAAAGCAAGCCATCCCAAACAGATCTTTTATCAAAAGGAGATGCGCTTGCCTGCGATCATGCGGTCGATGATCTCGCGATCTCGCGGGCTGCGAGCTAGGTAGCCAATGCCCCGGTCATCCTGCCGCTCAGGAAAGGCTGGCTGACAGCCTCTTCCAAACAAAGTGTGCAATGCTTCAACTTCAATGGCACAGATTGCTGGAGTTCAAAGGCGTGATGCGTTTCGGTTTGTTGGGGGGGGGCTCGGTGGATTCACTGCATCATACTGGTACACCGCTCACTCTCTCAAATCCTGGGCCGCCAGGAGTTGTCCCATGAACCCGACCCCGTGCCCAGAACTTCCCGCCTGAGGCCAACACGCCCGCGCCGCCGCTGGCTGCAATTCTCGGGGCTCTGCACCAGACAGGGCACTGCTGATGCAGCCCGCCGCACCTCTCAAGGGACCAAATCCGGCAGAGCATGGCAGAGCGACTTAGCACCTGGAGAACTGCCATGTCTTTTTCTCCTCCTGGCTTGCGCAACAACCGGCACTTTGGCTGGCACCGGCACTTGGTCTGCAGTCGCCCTGCTTAACCCAAAGGCCTTGACCGGATCCAGCTCACCAAGCCATCATTCACCTCCTGAATGATCAGCAGGGGAAAGCAAGCCACCAGCGTAACACCGCGAAGCAAGGAATCACTGGCCCTTCTCTGGCAGAAGCGAACTCGATGTCTTTGGCTCTTGCACGGTCGATGTTTCAAGAGGCCAACTCGCAGTTAGCCCTTCTGCAAGAGCAGAATGTCACCATCACACGTCGGACGACTTGGCACCCAGGAGCTTGCGCCAGGTCACATCGGCCGAATAAAACAGCACGACGTCCGCGTAGACTATGAACTCGTCCAAGAGACTCAGGAAGGGACATTTTATTCTGAGGAATGTGCCGACCATATCGTTGGCGTTGCTGCGGTGTCCTGTCCTTCTTCTGCCGGTCGTTCACGGCCTCGGGGCTTGAGTGCATCTCGATCTTGATCTTGATGTGCTGGACCCAAGCGGGCGGTGGAAGATCACCTGCCCGCCCCTGGGCTCCAGCCACACAAGAAAATCATCAAGGAGCCAACTGCGGTCATACCAATCAGCACCAATGATGGTGCGCATCATTGGCGCGTTCCGTGCCACTGTCTGGCTTTGCATAGCCTGAGACACCCCTGTCAGACAGCAGAGCCATGCAGCATTTGCCTTGCCCGTTTCACGTGCCATGCAGGATGTCGCGGTTCACCACTATGTACACCTGGAGGAGATTGTCTGTGGCAAATGGCGTACTTGATGCACGCCACCATTGCAGGGTGAAGTTGTCGCCTATACAATACGTATATATATATATACATACGTAGGAACACTGGGTAAGATGCCTTCCGGCAGGACCTTGGCGACTGTTCAGGCAGCTCGCACCCCAGGTCCAGCCCGCTTCGGCGTGCAGGGGCATCTTCACGGCCTTGGCCGACCTCTCTTCAAGAGCTGGGCAACTTTCCCTGGCACAGATGTCAGCGCCAGGACAGCGACTCTTCGCCCCAGCTTGAGTCTCAAATGCTGGCAGCTGGTGCTGAATGTGACGCCAGGTTGCCAAAGGGGGAATGGGTCTGGCGATGGGTCCGGCAGGCGAACTGATGCTGTCTCATAGAATAGCAGCGCTGGTTGGGCAGTCCAACCAACACACCAGAAACATTGCGGCAATGATTATTTCATGTCACACCAGCTTTTCCTGAAGAACAGACTGCAGTCCTTGCATCAAGCTTGGCTGTTGATCACCTCGAATTCCGTTGGCAGAATAGTCTGTGGCCCCATCAGCAGATCGAGCACCGGGACAACAGAACTCGGGTCGCCGCACCACGGGCTCTTAGGTATGAGATCAGACACCCAGCGGCCGACTTTCCAATGAGGCTGCTTCACATGGCAAACCATGTCGCTTCCACAACAACTCTTCGCTTGACACCTCCCTCGCTCCCACAAAGATGCGTGATGCTTTCCTGATTCTTCTCTGCGTGTGCGCGTTGAAACTTGAGGAAGGCTGGGCGCTTGGAAACATCGGCCGGCGATGGGCGTGAGGGAAACCCTATAAACAGCAGACATATCGTTTCATAAGTTTATCTCAGGAAAGAACACCATGCAAAGCACAGAGGACCACATCCCATCCCTAAGACCAACCAGCTGAGGATATCGTCAAGATCAAACTGAGACGGCAAGTGTTGCTCGAGGAAACCCTAAGGGCCAAAGTGCAAAAAGTCACTGAAGGATGGCAGAGACCCTGCCTTGCAAGACCTGCAGCCGCGCCGCCCGCGGATCCGAGGGGTAGCTCGGGGCCTGCGCGGCTTCGGAAGGCGCGGGGCTCTGACTCGTTCAAAAATAAGCTTTCCAAAACAACATGGACCCTGCCACCTTTCTGGCCCTGGATCACCAGATTTCATTCTAGACTCCTCCTTTTTCCCCAAATCTGAGGTCACTCTGAGGTCATTCAAGATGGCTTCAAAGTTGTGGGAAAAGCATGCGGACACACAACACTTGCTTGAACAGCAAAGGACAGCGGGCACAGGCCATGCATGCACAGGTCTGGAAACCAGCGGCCACAGCTGTGAATTGCTCCCTCGTTGCATCGGGACTGGGGATCGGCAATGCTCTATTTACAACTCGCTGAATTCTCTTTGCGCTTGCAAGATGCCAAACGTGTGTGTATATATATATATCTTGTTTTATGCCCTTGACCACTTCGAAGGGATCACCAGAGACAGTTCCAATTGGAAACACGGTACCACCAGTTGCCGAGCCCACGTGCGCGCTTTTGACAAGCCAGTCTGGAAGGGCAAGCCACACCGCAGACTTCTTCTTCTTCTTCTAACGTATATACATGTTGTATGCATCACAATATCATGACCTGTGTAGATGTACAATGTATTTCTGTTTATATGGCCATGGGACCCCCAGTGAACATCCCAATCCCCACTAAAATAGACTAAAATGCGTGGTGCACCTACCCCAAAATGGAATTAGGACTCCGTCGCCATCTTGCATCCTGCGAGCGGCGCACGGCGCCCTTCACGCCTGGCGTGGTGAGCCTGGGCTGTTTGAGCTGAACCGGTTACGCTCGGAGGAAGAGTCCTATTCTATGGTTTCCACCCCCAAGCACCGGATGGGATATACACCCACCATTATGTAAAGTGTTCCCATTTTCGCCTGGTTGTGGTTTGGGGGTAGTGGAAACCATCTTAGACCCATAGAGGTCACCAAGGGAATCCCGAATACGTTTCATGATGCGCAGTGAGACACCAACCACTGCACTGCCATCTGGCACAATTTTGCAGATTGATTTTGAACGGCTTTGGACCCCAAACCTGTTTGCCTTTCGGTTTGTGGTCCCCAAAACCCAGGGTGCCTTGAAATAGGCGACAATGTCCCCAACCACACCCCCCGGAACCCATGTGTTGCCAAAGACCTAAAAGCCCTCAGCCGGAGAAAAAGGAGGAAAACACACATGCCTTTCCAAGCAACCTGTTTCTTCTTTTCATCGGAAAAAATGCGGGTCCCCTTTTTGAAGGTCCTCTTTTTTGAGGCTCCCCTTTTTGGGCCTCGTCTTTTAAAGGGAAAGCTTCCGGAAAACAAAAATGAGAGAAGACAAAAAGGGGGAAAAAATGGTTTTGCGGTTTAGGGTTCAGGGATTGTGGTTTAGAAAAAAGAAAAAACGTGGGGCGCCGACTCCTGGAGGCTTCCCAGAGACTCGCTCCGAGGCGCGCCAGGCGCTGCGGCAGCCGGCAGCGCCCTCGAAGAGGCGCTCGCCCAGCGCCTGCCGGAAACGGGCGGGGCGCTCTGCGGTATCCCTGACGTCTGGCCTTTGCTTGTTTGCTTCTTTGTTTGTTTTTGTTGTTGCTTCTTTGTGTTGTTGTTGTTGCTGTTTGTTTGATTCTTTTTGGTTTTTCCGAAGAAATGGGAGGGGTTGTATTTCCTTTCTGTTTATTCTGCCCTTTTGCTCTTTGGGAAGGGGGCGGGGTGTCTCTCGTTTCTTGTTTCTTGCTTTTTTTTCTTTGGGGGAGGGTCAGCGCTTGCTTTTTGTTTCTGACGTTTGATTGATTTTGTGTTTTCTTTTGGCGGGGTGGTCACATCCAGAACGGTTGACAGCCCCGACGTCTAACAAGAAACACCAACAGGCGAAGTTGCTGCTTCTTCAGACTCCATGTCAATTCTTCTTGGTTCCAGCCAAGCTGCCAAACTGCAAGCCCCAACTCTTTTCTCCCAACCCCCCCTTTTCCCCGCCCATGCCCCCCCGCCCCCGCCCCCCCCCCCACACACGCACGCCTCCTGGGAAGGCTCCAAGTCGCAGCTGGCGAGCTGCGCGTCCAAGTGGCTGGGACCGCCTCGGACCCCACACGCGCGTGGGGTCCGAGGCTTCGGTGGCTGTCGCTTGAGGTACTTGCTCGCTGCTTGTTTTTCGTTGGGGGGGGGTGCCGTAGTACCCATGTTGGGTGGCTTTAAAGGAAAACCCGCATGAAGAAAAAGCACCAACTTGTGGGTCACCCCTATGTTGGCACACACCGTGAACCTAAATACAAGAAAAACAAACAAGGGCGAGCCGGCGACAGTCAGGC